CCTTGGGATGTTATCTTTGGAGACTTGTTTGTGCAACTTTAGCAAGGAGTTCCATTTACAATGTGACCCAAATGAGCATTGTTCATGAAAGATGAGATTTCGTGAGAGCAGAGGCGAGATGGACCACCACACTAACTCAAAGGGAAATCTTCGCGGATTTGCGCTATAAGAGATAATATTCTATGAAACAAAGAACCATAATGATATGTAGTATTCCAAACCACAACGATCTTTATGCTTCCGAAGATCCAATGCGCCAACACACTCAGTGTTGGGTCCATGGTATGCAATGCTAGGACTCAATATCAATGGAGGTGCGTGTGTCTAAAGTGATAGAACAATTAATGATAGTGGAGTTAGAGAGGGGTTAGGGGGGATTGTCTCCCCTCTAAAAGTTTACTATAGTCAGCAATTGTAAAAAGTTTAAAACTTAAAAATTAAAAATGGTCTCACTGTCGATGGTCACTATTTGACCTTACATACCATTGTCTCCCGTTGGTGTAAAATTTAAAAACTTTAAACTTAAGAAACTCCAAAATAAATTGCAGAAATCATAAAATTAAAAACACCATTAAAATGCTTAAATTTTTGGAACCCTGTTGGGAAATATCGGTTCCCTCAGATCGGCTCAGGGGCCTTTGTGCAGAAGTCAATCAATGAGATCCTCGATCTCAGATCTCAGCAATACCTTGGCATGAATTTCACCAGGTCAGGTAGCGCAGCGGAAATATCAAAGCGAAAAATCACAAAACAGGAGAGAGAGAAGAAGAACACAACCAGATTTAACGTGAGAAAACCTTCTTCAATGAAGAAGTAAAAACCCACGGGACCTAGTCCAGATCAAAAAATTCACTATGAAAATAATGGTTACAAAATAATCAGAATACACCAATGTGGTGGTTAACTCAACCTCTCCAACAATGGTGATAATCAAACTACCATAGAGATGTTTCACTCAAACTCTCTCTAGAGATCTCTCAAATGCAAAGCATAAGGCTTTGCTCAAACAATCAAATAATTATCTCTCATTCACTTAACCTAGCCTCCACCCTCAACTAATGAATATATAGAGGAGGTGAGATCTAGGGTTAGGGTTTTTAGGAAACCCCTCAATGGGCTTGGGCTTAGCATTGAAGGAGGAAGCCCAACAAATCTCCCCCTCCGACTTCAATGAGTCGGCTTCAGCATCAACCCGGCTCCTTCATAGCAGTCTTCAAATTTCCTTACTGGAACCGGCTTCGTCATCATGTCGGACCAATTTTGGTCAGTGTGCACTTTGACGAGTTTGAGCTCTCCAATTTCCACCACATCCCGGATCCAGTGATACCTCACATCAATATGCTTAGTGCAGGAGTGATAGGTCGAATTCTTCGCAAGATGGATTGCGCTTTGATTGTCACAACCCAGCTCGTACTTGTCTTGATCATGGACGAGTTCCACGAGGAACTTCTTCATCCACAACATCTCTTTGCTTGCCTCAGTAGCGGCAATGTACTCAGCCTCAGTTGTCGATAGTGCAACACATTTCTGAAGTCTTGATTTCCAAGAGACAGCTCCTCCGGCAAATCTCATCAAATATCCTGTAGTCGACTTCCTCGAGTCGGCGTCTCCCCCTAAATACGAATCTGAGTAGCCTTGCAACTCGGCTTTGCCTTCTCCAAATCTGAGACATAAGTCGGTCGTACCTCAGAGGTACTTGAAGATCCACTTCACTGCTTCCCAGTGCTCTTTGCCGGGGTTTGACAAATAACGGCTTACCATTCCAACAACATACGCCATGTCGGGTCTAGTGCAAACCATTGCATACATCAAGCTTCAGACGACAGATTGGTACGAGACCTTCATCGTCTCATCTTTGTCTTCATCAGATCTCGGACATTGCTTATGGTTCAGCTTTATGTGTCCGGCTAGGGGGTGCTCATTATTTTGGCTTTGTCCATGCTAAATCTCTTCAGAATCTTCTCAATATATTTCTCTTGACTTAGCCACAATAGCTTCTTCTGTCTATCTCGGATGATCTTGATTCTGAGTATCTGCTTTGCAGGGCCGAGGTCCTTCATTGCGAAGGACGAGCTCAACGCCTTTTTCAGGGCGGCTATCCTCGATTTGTCTTTCCCTACAATAAGCACGTCGTCAACATACAACAACAAAATCAAAAAATCTCCGGCCTCATACCTCTTCACAAATACGCAGTGGTCGACTTCTGTCTTCTCAAACTTATGATCAGTCATGAATGATTCAAATTTCTTGTACCACTGCCGAGGTGCTTGCTTCAAGCCATAGAGGCTCTTTTTCAACCGACATACCAAGTCTTCTTGGTCTAGAGCTTGGAACCCTTCTGGTTGCTCCATATATATCTCTTCTTCTAAATCACCGTGAAGAAATGTCGTCTCCACGTCCATTTGTTCTACCTCGAGGTCCATCGAAGCCGCCATGGCTAACACGGTTCAGACTGAGGTCATTTTCGCTACAGGAGAAAAAATCTCTTCAAAATCTACTCCTTTCTTCTAATTGCAGCCTTTCACTGCAATCCGGGCTTTGTATCTCGGCTTCTGCCCGTTCTCTTCATTCTTAATCTTGTAGACCCATTTTTTTTTCAGAGCTCGTCTTCCTTTTGGCAACTCGGTCAGCTCATAAGTCTGATTCTCGTGCAGATACTTCATCTCGTCTAGCATTTCCTTTTTCCATTCTTCTTTCTCTGAGCTCGTCACAACCTCATAATAACTCTGAGGCTCACTGGCTTCAGCAACAACGGTGTATTCATCAGATGGGTATCTCGTAGAGGGTCTTCTTTCTCGAGTTGGATATCTCGGCTGTTCTTCAGCTTGAGGACCTGGTTCATCATTCTCATCCCGGATCTCATCATCAACTCGGACATCAGTGTCTTGGTCATCTTCAGCTTGTTGTTGATCATCATTTTCTTCATTTTCATGATTTTCTCCCCCTGCTTCAGCTCGGACAGGAGGGTTGGGTTCTTCACGTCTGACAGTAACCCGGACTTTGGGCTTCGAGATGTCATGAATGTTCTCATGCTCATGAAAGATCACATCTCGGCTTCTCACGATCTTCTTATTGATTGGATCCCAAAGTCGGGACCCGAACTCACATCTCGGCGAACCAAGATAAATGCATTCTTTGGTCTTTGCATCAAGTTTAGCCCTTTCATCTTTAGGGATATGCACGAAAGCTCGGCATCCAAACACCTTCAATTGATTATAGGCCGCTTTCCGACCTGTCCAGACTTCTTATGGAATTTCTCCTTCAAGTGGCCGTGATGGTGAAAGGTTGATCAAGTCAACAGCAGTTTTGACGGCTTCTCCCCAGAATGATTTCGGCAAACCGACATTGGACAACATACTTCGGACCTTTTCTTCAATAGTTCTATTCATCCTCTCAGCAAGTCCATTCAACTGTGTAGTCTTGGGGGGCGTCTTCTCAAGTCGGATCCCGACCGCTCTGCAGTATGCATCAAATGGGCCGCAATACTCACCATCATTATCAGATCGGACCACCTTCAATTTCTTGCCAGTCTCCCTTTCAACCATAGCATGGAATTCTTTAAAGGATTGGAGTACCTGGTCTTTAGACTTCAACAAATATACCCACACTTTGCGGGAATGGTCATCAATGAATGAAACAAAGTACTGAGCTCCTCCAAGGGATCTTTCCGACATGGAGCAGACATCAGTATGGACGAGGTCAATAATATACCTACGTCGCCTTGGTTGATCCGGTCTCACAAAATAAACCCGGTGCTGCTTTCCAGCTAGGCAGTGCGTGCAACTCTCCAATGCTTGGCCTTTCAACCCGGTCAATAGTCCTTTCTTGTTCAGGATCTGGAGCCCTTTCTCGCTCATGTGGCCGAGGCGCTTGTGCCATAGCTCCAAGCTAGGTTCATCTCGGACAGAGTTGGCTTCTCCGTCATTGATCTTTCCTTGCATCACGTACAAGGAGCCTTCCTTCTTACCTCGGGCCACGACCAAGTTTCCCTTGGCCAACTTCCATCTCACACTACCAAAGTAGTTCACTAACCCGGAATCATCAAGTTTGCCTACCGAGATTAGGTTCAAACGCATGTCAGGAACATGCCTTACATCTTTCAACACAAGTCGACATCCGACATCCGACATCCGTGGTCAGAGTTACATCACCGACATCAACAATCTTGCTGGTCACTTGATTTCCCATCTTTCCGACTCCAAAATCACCACCTGGGTAAGAGGAGAAAAAACCTTTGTGTGGAGTAACGTGGAAGGAGGCACCTGAGTCAACAATCCAGGTGCAGTCATTATATGCAACATTCAAATAATTATCCTCACCAAGGAGGAATATCTCGGAATCCAGGTTGGCAGCCACCGCAGTGGTAATACGGGGTAATACATAGTTATAATGAAAAAATTTAATTTTTCTCTTTTCATCACATTAACCGACAATTTTTCTGAGAAGAGAGAAAAAAAAAAAACAGCTCCAGTGAAACTTTTACAACATAAAAGGATTTCCATTCAAATAAAACACTCCTGAGTTTTGACATATCACACTATTTATGTGTGTGTGGTTGATGCCTTTTATAAAGATATATAATTCTGAGTTTCATCCCTTAACTCTTCCAATTTCCAACTAAATATTTTTATATCTTCATTTGTCGTCTCAACTGTGTAACCCATGGCATGTTATTCATTCATGTTGTGTCCTCTACTTGCGGGTGTGTGAGACAACTGCATTAAACCAACACCGCCTTTGGAACACACCGCCTGTAGGGAGAGTAAAAGAAACATTTAACACATCATACAACGCACATGTTGTCTCATATGAAGGGTGCTAGTGTAGGTAATATTAGGGGTATTGAATGTAATTAAGACAAACCTTAAGAGATTGCATTGTAATTTCTTGTATTTATGACATTTATATATGTATGCATGAATTGCATTTTCTTAAATACCACCCTTAATTTTCTCTTTCTCTCTCCAGTTCCCTCTTCATCTATTGACTCCTCTGAATCCTATTTCACCTTTCAGATGGGAGAACCTCAAGAAATGCAACTTCACAAAATGGGTAAGCCAAATTTTCATCTTCCATATTTATAAACACAAAGATCACTTATTTCATGAAATTAGAAGTCTAACAAATTTACAAGCAAATAGTTAATGTCTATATCTCTTGTCCTACAGTTATATCAAATTTTGTTACCGTATTCACCTGAACTACATATTATAGGCTAAGAAATCCTTTCATGTATGCAAAACATGTACATCTAAGTGTTTTGAATTTGTATGTATATGATGGAAAAATCTGGTCCTAATTTCGATGGTTACTAGGATGTAAACTGATGATTTAGATATAACCAAGGTACCCACAGAGTCCAGAGAGACACAACTAGCAAGAACTGAAATCATGGAACGTAAAAGCCTTTTCTTAATTATGTCACCACAGTATAGTTCAGCATGTAAAAGAGAGCACTGGTGGAGCTGTTTCCATGTAACTGAAAGGTCACGAGTTCAAATCTAAGAAACAGTTTCTTTGCAAAAGTACAAAGGGTAAGGTTACGTATAATGATTGTCCTCTTATCCTAACCTCGCTAGTCGGGGTTTAATGGAAAATAATTTTTTAATATTTTTAGTATAGTTCGGTGCTTGAATGGTCGAAGAGGTGAGCTAATGTTAGGCCACCTAGATATCAAAGGAAAACTGAACTCTGCTTCAGATAGGAAATGAGTTCTTTTAAAACTGAACTTATATTATCTAAGTTGGTTTATTGATCATTTGGTATGTTTTTGTAGAAGCTAATGGAGCCAAAGAAACAAATTCATTGGAGGATAATAGTTTTCCCAGTGAAACGAACCAATCAAAAATCAGTAAGAAAAAAAAATATTATGGTTGGTTCAGAATAGCCCTCTATGCTTCATTTGTGTTGCTGGGCCAATCAGCTGCAATACTCCTTGGAAGATTGTACTATGAAAAAGGTGGAAAAAGCAAATGGATTGGAACACTTGTTCAACTTGTAGGTTTCCCTATTCTGCTTCCTATTTATTTCATCTCAGCACAAAAAAATCTCACCAGAAATAATAACATTCATCCAAATCAACCATCTGCTTCAGTGCTAGCAATTTTCTATGTCTCCATTGGCCTACTTGTAGCATTAGATTGTTATTTATATTCAGTTGGGCTCTTGTACCTTCCTGTTTCTACTTATTCACTCATTGGTTCATCCCAGTTGGCTTTCAATGCTTTCTTCTCTTACTTTCTCAATTCACTTAAATTCACACCTTACATAATAAACTCACTAGTACTTTTAACCATTTCCTCCACCCTCCTTGTACTTCAACCTGATTCATCAGATTCCACACAAGTCTCAAAGAAAAAGTATGTGATTGGATTCATATGCACAGTTGCTGCATCTGCTGGGTATGGATTGCTGCTTTCAACTACACAGCTAGCTTTCAAGAAGCTTCTTAAAAGGGAAAGTTTCAAAGTGGTAATGGATGTGATAATATATCAATCCCTTGTAGCTACCTCTGCTACTCTAGTGGGACTTTTTGCAAGTGGAGAGTGGAAAGGTTTGAAGAAGGAAATGGATGAGTATGAAATGGGGAAGGCATCTTATGTTCTGAATCTGACTTTCACAGCCATACTTTGGCAACTCTTTTCTATTGGTTGTGTGGGACTTATTTTTGAGGTTTCTTCCCTTTTCTCTAATGCTATAGGAGTTTTGGGTGTCCCTATTATTCCAATGTTGGCAGTGGTATTCTTTCATGACAGAATGCATGGGATTAAGGCCATTTCTATGGTGCTAGCTATTTGGGGCTTTATATCATATGTGTATCAACACTACCTGGATGATATCAAGTCCAAAACAGAAAACAGAAACACCAGTCATGTTGCCATAGCTTCTTCACCTTTAGACGAGGTCAATAGAGGAATCAGGTAGGCTTTTAAGTCATCAGTCTAAGTGTAAGAGAAACCATTCAAGTTACTGTAAGTGCTGAAATATTAATTACTTAAATGAATGAGTTGAATGCATAAGAATTGCAATTCAATTCAATTCTCTTTTCAACCGTTGAGTTTATATTTAAAAGCAAATTATTTGTAATTTGTTTGGAAGAGACTACGGGGAATATTATATTTACAAACTCTTATAAACTACACTATGTGATGCCGAAAGCGCATAGAAAAGAAGGCTAAATAGAAAGTTAGGATTTTCACAAAAGAATAACTCCCGGTTCTGAATTTCTAATTCTCAAATAATAAAATTCAACTCATATAATAAGAGTCCTAAGCACCCTTTTATAGACTAATTACAAATCAATTCAAATTTCAAAATCCTAAATCTAAAATCCTAAAAATAAGGAAAATTTCTAAAATAAATATAACATTAATCAAATTCTAAAAATAAATAAATAATTACAATTAAATTATTTAAAATACACTCCAAATCTTAGATCTCAAATTATGTCAAATGTGTTGCTTTCTGTTCTGGAATGAAAGAACATTTTTCTTTTCTTGCTAAACAAATCACAATCATATGTGCTACTTCATTTGGACTTGGATTTGATCGTAATTTGTTATATTTCAAATTACTGTTTCTTTTAACAATTATGTCATAGTTATTACGCTATAATTCTTATTGACTCCGATCTTCTTGAATCAATGGTTGGGTCATGTATAATGGGCTAACTACAAGTGCATCATTCTCCTCTGCTAGGAAAAGATTCGTCCTCGAATCTTCTTTATCTTCAGTGATCTCAATCACTTTAGGTTGAAGCTGAAATGAGAATTCTTCCTCTATTAAATTTCCATCATCTAATTTTCCATTAGATTTATCAGAAACTAAATAATCGTCATAAATCGGATAATTATCGTAAATTGGATAATCATCATAAATTGGATTATCATCATAGATCGAATAATCATCATAAACTGGATTATGATCATAGACTTCAAAGTCAGGAATGTTGATTTGCTTCTCGATATCTTGAAGAGTGAACTGCTTTTCAGGTCGTACTTTCCAGTTTTGTCCCTAGTTTAGAATCCTCAAGAGATTGACGTCCTCCTCTTTATTATCAGATGTATCCTTTAATTCCGTTCCTTTTTCAGATTGAATGCCCAACTTTTTTTTTTTGGAAACTGATCCTAATTACCTCTTTGAGGCGAATCAGAATCCCCCGATATCCCCACGGGTTCGACTCTTTGAGCCGCCTATGGGACTGATCCAGAGTTCGGGTGCGTGTCCAAGGATTACGGTACTTATGTCCCTCCCCACCATGCAAGTCGTCGCTCCAAATGTTGATTTTTTATGCTCTGCGCCTCCACAAGAGCTCGCTTCAAAATTTGGATTTTCATTCATACCCGCAAGAGTCGTTGCTCCAAATCTTGAATTCTCTTTTTCTGTGCCCACATAAGTAGTCGCTCCAAAAATTGGATTTTCTTATCTAACGCTTGCTCAAGTTGTTTCTTCAAATCCTGGATCCGCCTTCCTAGCTCGTCATTTTCTATGTCACGTGGGTCTATCTGACGCGGTTGTCTGTCTCCTTTAGGAATGAATCCATGTCCCTTATCTTCACGACTCTGCCATCGATGATCTCTATGATTCTGGTCAGCCATTGATTGAAGGAACCCCAATTCTTTGATACCAAATGATGCCGAAAGCGCATAGAAAAGTGACTAAACAGAAAATTAGAATTTTCACAAAAGAGTAACCCTGTGGTTCTCTATTTCTATTAACAAAATAACAAAATTCAACTCCTACAATAAGGTTCTTAAGCACCTTTTTATAAACTAATTACAAATCAATTCAAATTTTAAAATTCTAAATCTAAATCCTAAAAATAAGAAATTTTTTCTAAAGAAATATAACGGTAATTAAATTTTAAAAATATGCTCCAAATCTTAGATCTCAATTTATTCCAAATGTGTTGCTTTTCTTTTCTTTTCTTGCCAAACAAATCACAATCATATCTGCTACTTCATTTGGACTTAGATTTGATCGTAATTTGTTATATTTTAAATCATTGCTTCTTTTAACAATTATGTCATATTTATTGGGCCATAATTCTAATTGACTCCGATCTTCTTGAATAAATGGTTGGGTCATGTATAATGGGTCAACTATAAGTGCATCACTATTTCTTACTAGTAAGACACTCTTGAGTGAAGTCTTACCGGTGAGACATAATATAGTTTGTAAGTTTGTAAAAAAAAAAAATTGTCAATGTAACCATCCTCTAAATTAAATACTACTAAGAAACTTTACTTCGATGATATAGCAAGCATTTTTATTTTATTTTTTGATCTTATGACCTAGTTATCCCTTTAGAGCGAATCAAATTCTCAAATATTTCCAACGACTCATGTGGAAAAAGAGGCCCGACAAGTCTAAGGGTGTGTTTGGTTGAGGTTTTCTTTTGGGATAGATGGGGAAGTGTGGGTAGGTATCCCAAAATGCTATGTTTGGTACAAGTTTATGAAAAAAAAATCTAGGAAAGAAGTTTGCATAGGAAACCATATTTAAGTTGATTTTGTGTTCAAATTCACTGTTTAAGAATACCTCTTGAGATGTGGTATTTATGGAAAACTAGGGAAGTAGAAAACTGAGCGTGAAAATTGTGACCAAAGTGATCCTCCATTTTGTATTAGAAAACTAATTGTGAAGTTGTAGATTTATGTAAAAAATGATTTCTCAGGGTCATACGCAAGCTATTGAGATTCAAAAATAAAAAAAGGTTATTTTCGTCATTTTATATCTTTTTTCTATCAATATTTTCCACTCAACCAAACATAGACTTACAAAACTTTAATCAATTTACCTGGTAATATTTCATCTTACCAAACAACTTTTTTTACATTTTCCTACCAAACTCACTTTCTAACCATTTTCCTAGTAATTACATCTACTTAGTAGTAAAAAAATTTCTCCTCAACCAAACGTCCCCTAAAGGCTTTTCCACCGATCTATTCCTTATAAGAAGGGTTATATTTATAAACTTTCTGTTTACAAACTCTTACAAACTACACTATGTTCTCTCGGAAGAACACTATGTTACACTTTGTTCTTCCGGGAGAACATAGTGTAATTTGCAAAATTTTGTAAAAAAAATTTGTAAACGGATCCTTCCTCATTCCTTATTATTCTTTTAATTTTGAACTCCGTACATAAGGTATGTCATATTACCATATATCTTATAAAATGTTTGATCTAACGGTGATTAGAGTGATAGTGGATTGGAAGTAGAAAAAATAGTAGTATGAATATCCTATCTCATCTTCTATATGCTTGTTAAAATGCTACAGGAGCAAACACTATGTAACAGACTATTCTAGAAAGGAAAAAGTGTGTATCATTTTTAAGGATGTAAAATTGTGTCATTTTAAGTTAGAGGAAGAGATAGATAAAAGAGAAGAGAGAGTGAATAATAAAATCACATAAGTTGTATTTTCCCTTCTAGAAAATGTAACTTTTTGAATCAAACTGGTAAAATAAAAAATAACAACTTTCTTTATTTTCAATGCTGCCTGCACCATGACTTCAGGTTACCCAAAAGTCATGACAGCATATTAGTAACATAATTCCTAATGTTAGCGATGGATTAGACGATCAAGAGAAAAGTGAGGAAAAGAACTCCATATGTAATATCCTATTCAATATCCATGTTTACCTGCAGAATCTTAAGGCTTTGTTTGGGAGTTTGAAGGAGAGGGGAAGGAAGGGGATCCAAGGGGGAGGGAGAGGAAGGAAGGGGAGAAAATTGGAGGGTATCCCCTTCATTGTTTGGGAGTCAAAAAAATGGAATGGGAGGATAATGGAGGGTTAATGGGATATTTTTACCCTTTACCCTTTTTTTTAAAATTAATATAAATATTATACTTTACAAATTAAATTAAATTTAAAATTTCTAACAAAATTATTTATGTACTTTTCACAATACCAAAAAAGATCATATTTTTTTATGAAATTTCTACGTTGCCAAACGATGAAAATTTCGTCAAAAAATTATTTTTTTCGAATGAATACTTTTTGTCGAAAAGCGATAGAATTTTTGAACCAATGAAAATTTTTACAAAAATAGATTTTCGACGAAATTTAGTTTCCATCAAAAGTTTTGACGAAAATGATTTCCACTGTCAAATGTTTTAAATGAAAAAAGAATTCCATCAAAAATTTTGACAGAACGTTTTTCGTTCAAAATTTCGATGGAAATGTGTTCTAACAAATTTTTTGACGGAAATTGTTGTCAGAAATTTTGAGGAAAATCTTTCATTCGAAACTTTCTAACAAATTCTTGATTTTTTTCGTCACAAATTTTTACGAAAATATTTTCTGTCAAATTTTTTTGACAGAAATGCATTCCGTTGAAAATTGTGATGGAAATATTTTTTTATCAAAAAACTTGACGAAAATATTTTCCTTCGAAAATTTTCGATGAAAATGTGTTTCTTTAAAAATTGCGACAGGAATTTTTTTTGCCAAAAAGTTTAACGATAATGTTTTCGTCGAAAACAGTCGGCGGAATTTAAATTCTGTTATGAATTTTGATGGAAATATTTTTCGTCAAAAATTTTGATGAATATGTTTTTTTGTGAAATATTTTGGCAAAATTTAGATTCCGTAAAGAAATTTGACATAAAAAAATTTCCGTCAAAATTTTTTGCAAAAAAATTTGATGGAAATGTTTTTCGTAAAAAAATTTGACGTGATTGTTTTACTTCAAAACTTTTCGATAGAAACGTGTTTCATCAAAATTTTGGATGGAAATATTTTCGTTATAAATTTTCGATGGAAATATTTCAAATTGATTTTTTAGTTTAAATCACAAATCAAGTATTTATTTTGTTTTCCTTATTAATAATAATTTTTATTTTTATTTTTAATTTAAATCACAAACCAAATTTTTGTTATAATAAAAAAAGTATTATAAAAAAACTTTGAATCACAAATAAATTTTTTTTTATATTAAATCACAAATCAGATTTTGAAAAATATGACACGTGTCAACAATGAGTGACGCCTAAATTATAATTTTTTTTATATTTTTGTTATAATAATAATACCATTAATTTTTTTTTTGAAAAAAAAAATATGACACGTGTCAACAATGAGTGACGCCTAAATTAGACGTGATTGCCTCTTGAGTGACGCCGAATTTAGGCGTATTTAGTAACGCCCAAATTGGGCGTCATATTGTACAATAGATGTGTAATTATTTTTAAAACTGTAATAAATAAATAATTAATTTATTAAAAAACATTAAATTAATTTTTTTGTCCATCAAATCTTGATTTTTTTTATATTAAATAACAAATCCAGAACTCAGAGGCTTCTGAATTTAAAAATGTGACGCGTGTCAACACGTGTGAACACCTGACACGTCACCAATGATGTCTAAATTGTGTTTCAATCAAGAGGCAATCACGCCTAATTTAGGGAATTTTATTTTTGAAAAACACTCATAAGTCATAATTAATTTCAGAACACAAATAATAACCCAGAAGCTTATAGTAATAATCTTTAATTACGAAAATAATATCCTTCTTCCTTAGAGATATAGAATATTTATTTAATTATTTCCTTTATTTCTACAGATTTTTCAAATTGATTTTTTAGTTTAAATCACAAATCAAAATTTTATTTATTTTTTTATATTAAATCACAAATCCAGAACTCAGGGGCTTCTGGGTTTAACCGCTCTTATAATACCATTCTTGCAAATTTAAATTGTGTTTGTGAGAAATAAAATATGTCAAGTTACATGGTAATCTGTAGATCTCGAAAAGTTATGTGGAATCAAAAAAATAATTACCTGATTTGGATACCCGAATCAAAAGTTATGGCCTTCGGAAGTTTTATGATTAAATTTTGTTTTTTGAAAAACAAATATAACACGTGTCAACAATGAGTGACGCTTAAATTAGACGTGATAGCCTCTAGAGTAACGCCGAATTTAGGTGTCTTTAGTAACGCCCAAATTTGGCGTCATATTGTGCAATAGATGTGTAATTATTTTCAAAACTGTAATAAATACATAATTAATTTATTAAAAAACATTAAATTAATTTTCTTGCCCATCAAATCATGATTTATTTTTTATTTTAAATCACAAATCCAGAACTCAGAGGCTTCTGAATTTAAAAATGTGAGACGTGTCAATACGTCTGAACACCTGACACGTCCCCAATGACGTCTAAATTGGGTTTCAATCAAGAGGCATTCACACCTAATTTAGGTATTTTTATTTTTATCTTTAATTTAAATCACAAACCAAATTTTTGTTATAATAAAAAATTATTTTAAAAAAATTTAAATCATAAATAAAAAATTTATTTATTTTTTTAGATTAAATCAAAAATCCAAAACTCAGGGGCTTCTGAGTTTAACCGCTCCTATAATACCATTCTTCCCAATTTAAATTGTGTTTGTGAGAAATAAAATATGTCAAATTACATGTCATTCCGTAGATCCCGAAAAGTTATGCGGAATCAAAAAAAGAATTACCTGATTTGGATACCCGAGTCAAAAGTTATGGCCTCAGAAGTTTTATGATTAAATTTTTTTTTTTAAAAAAACAATATGACACGTGTCAACAATGAGTGACGCCTAAATTAGACGTGATTGCCTCTTGAGTGACGCCGAATTTAGGCGTCTTTAGTGACGCCCAAATTGGGCGTCATATTGTACAATAGATGTGTAATTATTTTAAAAGTTGTAATAAATACATAATTAATTTATTAAAAAACATTAAATTAATTTTTTTGCCCATCAAATCTTGATTTATTTTTTATATTAAATAACAAATCCAAAACTCAGAGGCTTCTGAATTTAAAAATGTGACGCGTGTCAACACGTGTGAACACCTAATACGTCACTCACCAATGACTTCTAAATTGTGTTTCAATCAAGAGGCATTCACGCCTATTTTAGGTAATTTTATTTTTGAAAAACATTCATAAGTCATAATTAATTTCAGAACACAAATAATAACCCAGAAGCTTATAGGATTAATCTTTAATTTCAAAAATAATATCCTTCTTCCTTAGAGATATAGAATATTTATTTAATTATTTTCTTTATTTCTTCAGATTTTTCAAATTGATTTTTTAGTTTAAATCACAAATCAAGTATTTATGTTGTTTTCCTTATTAATAATTATTTTTATTTTTATTTTTAATTTAAATCACAAACCAAATTTTTGTTATAATAAAAAATTATTATAAAAAAAATTTAAATCGCAAATAAAAATTTTATTTATTTTTTATATTAAATCACAAAGCCAGAACTCAGGGGCTTCTGGGTTTAACCGCTCTTATAATACCATTCTTGAAAATTTAAATTGTGTTTGTGAGAAATAAAACATGTCAAATTACATGTCATTCCGTAGATCTCGAAAAGTTATGTGGAATCAAAAAAAGAATTACCTGATTTGGATACCCGAGTCAAAAGTTATGGCCTTCAGAAGTTTTGTGATTAATTTTTTAAAAATAAAATAAAATATATGACACGTGTCAACGATGAGTGACGCCTAAATTAGACGTGATTGCCTCTTGCGTGACGCCCAATTTAGGTGTCTTTAGTGACGCCCAAATTAGACGTCATATTGTGCAATAGATGTGTAATTATTTTCAAAACTGTAATAAATACATAATTAATTTATTAAAAAGCATTAAATTAATTTTTTTGCACATCAAATCTTGAATTATTTTTTATATTAAATCACAAATCCAGAACTCAGAGGCTTCTGAATTTAAAAATGTGACATGTGTTAACACGTGTGAACACCTGACACGTCACCAATGACGTCTAAATTGGTTTTCAATCAAGAGGGAATCACGCCTAGTTTAGGTAATTTTATTTTTGTAAAACATTCATAAGTCATAATTAATTTCAGAACACAAATAACAACCCAGAAGCTTAAAGCATTAATCTTTAATTTCGAAAATAATATCCTTCTTCCTTAGAGATTTATAATATTTATTTAATTATTTCCTTTATTTCTACCGATTTTTCAAATTGATTTTTTTGTTTAAATCACAAATCAAATATTTATTTATTTTTCCTTATTAATAATAGTATTTATTTTTATTTTTAATTTAAATCACAAACCAAATTTTTTTATAATAAAAAAATTATAAAAAAAAATTAAATCACAAATCAAAATTTCATCTATTTATTATATTAAATCACAAATCCAGAACTCAGGGGCTTCTGGGTTTAACCGCTCTTATAATACCATTCTTGCAAATTTAAATTGTGTTTGTGAGAAATAAAATATGTCAAATTACATGTCATTCCGTAGATCTCGATAAGTTATGTGGAATCAAAAAAAGAATTACTTGATTTGGATAACCGAGTCAAAAGTTATGGCCTTCACAAGTTTTGTGATTAATTTTTTTTTTTTTTAATTATATGACACGTGTCAACAATGAGTGACGCCTAAATTAGACGTGATTGCCTCTTGCGTGACGCTCAATTTAGGCGTCTTTAGTGACACCCAAATTGGGTGTCATATTGTGCAATAAATGTGTAATTATTTTTAAAACCGTAATAAATACATAATTAATTTATTAAAAAGCATTAAATTAATTTTTTTTTGCCATGATGTGTGATTTAAATTAACAAAATAACAATTATTATTAATAAGGAAAACAAAATAAAGATTTGATTTGTGATTTAAACTTAAAAATCAATTTGGAAAATCTGTATTAATAAAGAAAATAATTAAATAAATATTCTAAATCTCTATTACTTGATTTAAATTTAAATTATGTTTGTGAAAAATAAAATATATCAAATAAGATATCATTGGAGATTGCTTACCAAAAAAAAAAGATATCATTGGGGATATTGCGTATATAAAAAAAGAATTACTCCCGCCCTTATGCACTCCCACATTGGTTATATTGTCAAACGTTTTCAGAACCCTCACTCTATTGCTGCTTCTGTTCTTTTCCCTCAAACCGCTTTCTGTTTCTTTCGTCTTTTTGTTTTATTTTTCTCGATTGAGAAGAAGAAAACCAAGAAATCTTCCCTTGCCCTTCTCTTCTTCTTCATCTTAATTTTTAACCTTTGTGTTGGTGTTTGATTATCTGGGTTCTTCTCAGTTTTGGGTGCAATGGTCCCTGTTTCCAGAACTGAAGGTGGAGCTGGCACACAAATACTCTCAGCTATAGTGTGCAAAACCATCCAATCCATCAAGGAAATCGTAGGGAATCATTCTGATGCTGATATCTATGTAGCCCTTAAGGAAACAAACATGGATCCTAACGAAGCCACTCTGAAATTGCTCAACCAAGATCCATTCCATGAGGTGAGGAGAAGGAGAGACAGAAAGAAGGAGCCTCGGAATATTGGGAACAAAGGTTCAGCTGACCCAAGGAGGCATTCTGAGAATGTTGGTCAAGGAATGAAATCTCATATCCCATCTGAACGTAATGTTCTTAGAAGAATAAACTATTCTCGGAACATTTTTCAATCAGTTGGTGCCATCTCGAAGACTGAACAATTTAGTCGAACTAATGTAACTAAACCTTCATTCCCTGGCATGACAGTTAGTAGGCCGTCCTTGAACAATCAATATAATAGCAGGCCACATCAACAACTCGCGGGACATCAGAGAGTTTCCCAGCAGAATAAAAAAGAGTGGAAACCTAAATCAAGTCAGAAGTCTAACAGCTATACTTCTGGAGTGATTGGAACTCCTAAAAAAGCTGCTTCACCTCCAGCTGAAAATTCTATAGATATAGAATCAGACGCTGCAGAGGTTCAAGATAAAATTTCCCAATTATATATATATGATACCCAAAATGTCATCATACCACAGCATATTCGAGTTACGAAAACTGATCGTTGTCAGCTGATCTTTGGTACCATTGGGATACAACTTGATTCTTCGATGCATGAATCGAAGTATCCATTAATAGAAGCTGCTGAATCAAATGAAGAATCGACTGCAAGCTTGACTCCAGAGTTGTCCACTGATGATGTTCCTGGGAGCAAACAGATAGACTTACGGGATGACAATATTACAAGTACTGGGTCGAACTCTCTAGCATCAGCTGGTGCTACTTCTGAGCAACAATTGCTTGATATCAAAGACTCCTCAAACCCTCAGAATCTGGACGACAGTTATGCCAGTATTGGGTTGGTACGTGATACAAGTCCGTCCTATGCACCTTCAGAGTCACAGTCACAGCAGCAAGATTCCCATGATATGCCGGGCTTCTCGGCATACGATCCTCCAACTGGTTATGACATTCCTTATTTCAGACCAACATTGTGGGATGAAACTTTAAGAGGGCAGGGTTTGTTATCTTTTCAGGAGGGTTTGAGCTCCCATGCTGCCAATAGTATTCCCGCATCCTCCATTGCTATGGTGCAACAGCAACCTCCTGTGGCTCATATGTATCCACAAGTTCATGTTTCACATTTTGCTAACCTTATGCCATATCATCAGTTTCTGTCCCCGGTCTATGTTCCACCTATGGCCATGCTTGGATATTCAAATTCAAGTAATGCTCCCTATCCTCACCCAACAAATGGCAACAGTTACTTGTTGATGCTTGGAGGTGGTTCCCATCTTAATGCCAACAGCCTTAAATATGGAGTTCAGCAGTTCAAGCCTGTCCCTGCTGGAAGCCCTACAGGGTTTGGAAATTTTGGTAATCCAACTGGCTATGCCATGATATCTCCTGGTGTGGTTTGGGGTGCAACGGCTTTAGAAGATTCATCTCGAGTCAAATACAAAGATAATCTCTATATCCAAAATCCTCAGGCTGAGATATCAGAAATCTGGTTACAGAATCCATGTCAGATTCATCCTGGCATGCAATCTACTCCATACTATAACTTGCAGGGGCAAACACCTCATGCAGCGTACATGCCTTCGCACACCGGTCATGCTTCCTTCAATGCAGCTGCAGCTCAGTCTTCACACATGCAATTCCCTTGTATGTATCATACTCCTCCACAGCCAGCTGCTATTGCTAGTCATCATCATCATCTAGGACCAGCAATTGGCAATAACGTTGGAGTTGGGGTGGCTGCAGCTGCTCCTGGAGCACAGGTTGGTGGATATCAGCAGCCCCAATTGAGCCACCTGAATTGGACAACAAATTTCTGAACTGAACGGGATAAAAAAAAAGTGGAATCTAACCCTTTGTGTATAAGGGACTGAACTGTAGATATAGAAAAATCGCAGAGGCATTGAGATAAATTTTCAATCTTTAATTTTTGTGCTGAGTGAGTGAAACCTTGTAAACCGAGTAAATTGCAATGAATGATATCTAGCTGATTTAGTCATATGCTAGTTGTCATATTGTTTCTGTTATGGAACTATTTTGTGGTTCTTTGTTCGGATTTAATTGCAAAATTAGTGAATGCTGTTTTAAATAAATAATCGAATTGTGTTGGTTTGTTACCTCCCCTGTTACAAATATTGTTTCTGATATAAATAAGTCTTTTCCTCGTGACCATAAATTTTGAACTCTTTATTTTCATACTTCATAAAGTTTTTATATATTTCATAATTTTTCCATGTAAGTCATTTTTATAATGTCATCTAATTTCATCAGTCGATTTAAATAGTTAAATCTAAATTGGAAGTTTCGTGAGTTCACATCTTTCTTTCTTTTTTGAAAACTTGTGAGTTCACAACTTCACATCTTGAATTGGTCTAATTTACACATTAATGATTTCAACAACTTGGTACCCACTATGTAAAGTTTTACCATAAATGATTAGGACTGATTTTGGAGACATCCTTATCCATGGCCCAAACCTAGCCTAATATTACAATACGACTTTTGCATATAATGCAAACCTTTTCCCATTACTCTTATAACTTATGGAATAAAGTTTCAAATCCTCTGCTATGCATTTTTTAGGATAAAATCATAAATCATTAACCAATGTAGCTTTTATTGAAAATGTTGCAAAAAGTTGCGAATTCACCCCCACAACATTAATTACTTACAATTTATTTTCTCTTATTCTATGCCACAAACAACTATTTGATACTCACAAACTTGCTTGAAAAGTAATGGTTTTTTACACTCCTTAATATCTAAGGACTTTCCCAGGTTCCTATTAAAACAATTCTCGCATATTCAAATTATCCTATTTAACTATTTTAAATAATTTAATGAAGCATGCTCTTAAATGTGAAATTTCATTAAAAATTCTATGGTATATTTATTTCAATTTTCTAATTTAGGACTGGGAATATAATGAAGAAACTACACTTAGATTCCTCAAGTATGGAAAATTAAAATTTCACTTTATTCATAATTTCACATTTTGCATGGATAATACTTCGAATTACCTTAATTTTATTTATCCGAGTATTAGGACTTAATAACTATGGAACTTATATTTATAAACAATTAAAACTATGGTGGGACTTATGGGAATTAAAATAAAAGTAGAGAAGAATAAATGAAGAACTAGAGAGAGAGGGGGAAGATGGAGGGAAGAAGAAGAAGAAGGAGAGGAAGAGAAAGAAGAGGGAAGATTTGGGAGCTTGGTTCAACTCTTGTGCTCCAATCACCATCAAGAATCTTAGGCCAGAATCTTCTAATAAAAAAAATCTAAGGTGATAATAATGAACTTTCTAAAACCCATCTTTAATTTGATGGTTGAAATGGTGTTGGAATCTAGAGCTGGTATCATGCCCAAATTCTATTTGAAATGTTTTTATGGATGCTCTTGGCATCTGGATCTATACTCACGGCATCTGGAACCTCTAATGGCATCTGTATGCAACGATCGTCTTGGCCAAAGTTTTTTTGCCCTCTCGTTGGTATATATGCTTTAAAGATATTAATGGTAAAATTATTATATTTCGGTGACAATATCTTTATTTCAAAGTAGTTGGAATGGTTGGCCAATAAACTCAATTGAAAAGAAAGAAAAAAATAAAAATAAAAATAAAACTAGGAATTAAATATAGAAATTGAAAATTAAAATTAAAAAAAAATAAAGAAAACAAACAAGTAAGAGAAAATAAAAGTTAGAAAGGAAAAAATAAAGAGGTAAAGTAATAAATAGAAGGAGACATCGGGGAAAATGACTAAAAACAAGTTTAACAATCCACACTGCTAATAACTTTTCTCTAATTTATTCTAAGATACATTGTTTGTCAATTTATATTCCAATCATTTAAGTCTTGTTTACTACTTCACCCAAATAAATTTTGGCTGACCTCTTTCTTTCTTTGCGTCAATTTCTTGGTAACAAACTTTTGATTTTACGGGAGCATTTAGGAATCTTCGTATTATGTGTCCAAATCATCTTAATCTATGTTTTCTCATATTTTCAACCATTGACACTACACATACCTTTAGTCAAATATCTTCATCTCTTATCTTCTACATCCTTGTATGACCACACACCTATCTTAACATGCTCATGTCATGCTCATGTTGCCTATGTGCTGGTCAAAGTTAAGTTCTGTATAACATTGTAAGCATCACTGTTGTTCTATAAAACTTTTCTTTTAGCCTTAAAGGAATTTTGTGATATAAAAACCTTGATGCACTGTGTCGTTTTATCCAACTTACTTCGATTCTATGGTTTCAATCCACATTAATCTCTTTACCTTTTTGCAAAATAAATCACAAACATCTAAAAAAAGCTTTCTTGAATGCCTTTTATCCAAGCAAATGCATAGAATCGTGATCTCCACTTTTTGCTAGAGCAAACTCACACATCATATATTCAGTCCTACTTTAACTTAGCGCGAATTCTTTAGACTCTGATGTGCTTCTCCACAATTCTAATTTTCTGTTCACACAAGCCTTTGTCTCATCAATAAGCACAATATCATCTGCAAATAACATACACCATGACACTTCATCTTGAATATCTTTTGTTAGTTCATCCATAATTAGAGCGAAAAGATATGGATTCAAAGTAGAGCCTTGGTGTACACCTGTCGTGATAGAAAAATAACTTGATGTTCGTCAATGAACACAACAACGAACTGATCCATATAAGGCTTGAATATCTTATTCATATAATCCATGAATACGGTCGGAGCATTAATGAGTCAAAATAGAATTACCAAGTACTCATAATATCTGTATTTGGACCTGAATGTAGTCTTTGAAATATCCTTTGTCTTAACCCAGATCTGATGATACCTGAACCGCATATCAATCTTAGAAAACACTGAATCACCCCTCAACTAATCTAACAAATCATCAATATGTGGTAAGGGATAATTATTCTTGATAGTAACCTTGTTTAACTTCCTGTAGTCAGTCCACAGTTTCATGCTTCCATCTTTCTTCTTAACAAACAATATTGGTGTCCCCAAGGAGATACACTCAGTCTAATAATATTCTTATTAGAAATGTCTTTAATCTGCTTTTTCAATTTTGATAACTCCAGAGGTGACATCTTGTATAGAGCCATAGAAATAGGCCCTATATCAGACAATAAGTCAATAGAGAATTCAATTTCTCTTTTTGGTGAAAACTGTGGAATCTCATCAGGAAATACTTTCACAAATTCCCTGACACTAGAATTTCAGTGACTTGTTGCTTAGTATTTCTCACTAAACCTCCCACTAGCATAACCATTAGCTCCTTCCTTCAAAGCCTTTATAACCTGAAGTACTAACATAAAGGAGAATCATGCACAACATCTATGGGAGACATAATAAGTTTCTTACTACAGCAATCAATCATAACATCATTCTTTATCAATTGGTCCATACCTATAATTATTTCTAGACTAATCATGTCCAATCAAACTAGATCAACAGTATAATTTTGACCCTTATACATGAATTTGGCATTTTCACAAATCATAGAAGTTGAACATTTTTCACCAGTGGTGGTCTTAACGTCCAAAGGATGGGAAATCTCATACATAGGTAGATTTAGCCCCACTGCAACAAGACTCATAATAAAAGAATGCGTAGCTCGTGAATCAAACAACACACTTATATCATAATTATCAATAAAGATATGACCTTTTACAAGGTCTGGAGCTCTCTCTGACTGTTGAGGATCAAGGGTATAAACTCAACCCGTAGTTGGCGGAATCTAGATCACCTGTAGAGGAGTAGCTTGTCCCATATTCTAGGGACAATCCTTGATAAAGTGGCCAAACTTGCTGCACCTGCAACACATATTTTACTCCTTCCAATAGACACCCTGGTGAAATCTACCACACTTAGTACATTTCAGATTAGACCTGCAGTTACCACCTTACTAATGTCTAGATCTCTTAAACTTATTACCAGATTGTTTAACTTATAGATTTTTGCCTTTGCCCTTCCAAAAAGGAGTCTTGCTAGTAGTACCTTTAGTATCATATTCTTTAACATTTGAAGGCTTCTTGAACATCATACAGACTTCTTTTACTTTCTTGCACTGATTGATTAATGTGGCAAAATCTCTAAACTCACTGCTAGCTATCTTTTTAGCAATTTCCTCAGTCAGACTTCTCTAAAACTTAGCAACAAGATATTCAGAAGTAGGCAGTACAACCCTGTAGTTGGCAAATTTTGTAAGTTCATAGAACTTAGCCAGATATTCATCAATAGTCCTTGAACCCTGAACTAGGGGTTCAAATTCCCCATGTTTCCTTTCCCTAGCATCTCGGGGAAAGTATTTCTCCATAAATAGATTCTCAAACATCTTCCATGTAACTGCTTGTCCCTGTACTTCCATAAGTTGTGTGGTATTTGACCACCACTAATTTGCATTCCCTTCTAGCATGTACACAGAATAAAGAAGCTCTTAATCATCTTGGCATGACATAACTTTAAAAAAATTGTCCATATCCTGAAGCCACTTAGTTGCTACCACTAGATCACATGTTCCCCTGAAAGCTGGAGGCTTATGCTTTATGAAAGAAATCAATCTTCTCTCGAATGCCTCTACTTCACCAACATGTTCAACCTGCATTTGAACATTACTTACATGATGGCTAGTGCCTTTAGCACTACCTGCATAGTGACTAGCTTCACCCTCATCATTACTTGCTCCATCACCTGCTCCACCAATGCCTCCCTCTACTAAAGAGTATGTGGTGGTTGTTGTTGTTGTTGAACCTGTGGCTATTGTGAATGTGTAGGTGAAGATGGTGACTGATTATCATTCTTGCATGCCT